TCCCAGAAGCTGGCCAGTGACCATTCCGGCCACCAGCAGGGCCCCTCCTGGGTGGAGGCCTCACGAGGGAGACGCCATAGAGGCTGGCCCTGAGGATGTGTCTCCTGGATCTTCCCCCAGCGCCTCCGTCCCTCACCCCTCAACCCCAGGATTCAGGAGAAAAGACAGAAGAAGCTGGCGCTCAGCTCTGCAGCCCCGGGAGCTGGTGCTGCGGTAGCTCTGCGGTTCCCCCTTTGTCCTCCAAGTCTATGAGAGCCATTGTACCTCTTCGTTATTTTCTTTTTTTTTTTAAGATTTTATTAATTTATTTTTAGACAGAGGAGAAAGGAAGGGGAGAGGAACAGAAATAGCAATGTGTGGTTGCTTCTCATGTACCCACTATTGGGGGCCTGGCCCGCAACCCAGGCATGTGCCCTGACTGGGAATTGAACCCATGACCCTTTGGTTCACAGGCCGGTGCTCAATCCCCTGAGCCGCACCAGCCAGGGCACAACTGGTGCTCTTATAAGAAGAAGAAATCAGGACAGAGACGTGTGTTCGGGGGAAGATGGAAAGACAGGGACAGTTTGGCCATCTGTAAGCCAAGGAGGCGGGCCTCCCTCACAGCCCTTCTTTGGAAGCAAACTGCGGACATGGCGATCTCACACTTCCAGCCTCCAGAACTGTGAGGGAGTAAATGTCTGTGGCACTTTGTTACGGTGGCCTCAGCACACTCTTCACCATCCTCTGAGGTGGCGCTCGACAAGTCTTTCCCTCACCGACTATTCATGCCCTGGTGTGGTCCCCTCCCACACAGAGTCAGGGCTGCTCCGTGAGATCCCCAGCACAGGACAGAAGTAACCGTGTGTGATGACTGGGTGAGGCTCAGTTGTAAAAGGCAGTGCGGTGTCCACCTGGGTCTCCTGAATTTCTTTCTCTGGAGGAGCCAGGCCGCCATGCTGTGAGGACTCTCAAGCAGCCCCACAGAGGCCCACAGGAAGGGCAGGGGACCGAGAGTCAGGAGCCAGCACCAACTGGCCAACCTTGGAAACGGACCCCGCAGTCCCAGTCCAGCTTCAGAGGACCACAGCCCTGGCTGGTGGACACTTGACCTCAGCCTCACTGGACATCCCAGACAGAATCACCCCTCTGAGTCATCCCCCTGAGTCACCCCCAAACTCCTGACCCATAGAAACGTGTGTGTTTGGTTTTTTTGAAAAATATGTTATTCAGCCCTGGCTGGTGTGGCTCAGTGGATTGAGTGTGGGCCTGTGAACCAAAGGGTCACTGGTTTGATTCCCAGTCAGGGCACATGCCTGAGTTGTGGGCCAGGTCCCCAGTAGGGGGTGTTCAAGAGGCAACCACACATTGATGTTTTTCTTCCTTTCTCCCTCACTACCCCTCTTTCTTAAAATAAATAAAAATAAATCTTTCTAAAAAGATGTTATTTATTTTTTTAATTTGAAAATTTTAAAAGAGATTTTATTGATCATACTATTACAGTTGTCTAATTTCCCCCCCTTCACTCCCCTCCGCCCTGCACACCCTCTCCCACCCACATTCCCCAGCTTTAGTTCATGTCCATGGGTCATACATATAAGTTCTTTAGCTTCTACATTTCCCGTACTATTCTTGCCCTCCCCCTGTCTATTTTCTCCCTACCATCTATGCTACTTATTCTCTGTACCTTTCCCCCTCTCCCCCCCCAACTCCCCTGTTGATAACCCTCCATGTGATCTCCACTTCTGTGATTCTGTTCCTGTTCTAGTTGTTTGCTTACTTTGCTTTTGCTTTTGCTTTAGGTGTGGTTGTTAATAACTGTGAGTTTGCTGTCATTTTATCATTCATATTTTTTATCTTCTTTTTCTTAGATAAATCCTTTTAGCATTTCATATAATAAGGGTTCAGGAATGATGAACTCCTTTAACTTGACCTTATCTGAGAAGCACTTTATCTGCCCTTCCATTCTAAATGAAAGCTTTGCTGGATAGAACAATCTGGGATGTAGGTCCTTGCCTTTCATGACTTGGAATACTTCTTTCCAGCCCCTTCCTTCTTGCCTGTAAGGTCTCTCTTGAGAAATCAGCTGACAGTGTTATGGGTACGCCTTTGTAGGTAACTGTCTCCTTTTCTCTGGCTGCTTCTAGGATTCTTTCATTTTAATCTTGGATAATGTAATTATGATGTACCTTGGTGTGTTCCTCCTTGGGTCCAACTTCTTTGGGACTCTCTGAGCTTCCTGGACTTCTTGGAAGTCTATTTCTTTTGCCCGATTGGGGAAGTTCTCCTTTATTATTTGTTCAAATAACTCTGCCACTTGTTGCTCTTCCTCTTCCCCTTCTGGTACCCCTATAATTCAGATATTAGAACAGACATCCTGGAGGTTCCTAAGCCTCTCCTCAGTTTTTTGAATTCTTGTTTCTTCATTCCTTTCTGTTTGATTGTTTCTTTCTTCCTTCTGGTCCACACAGATGATTTGAGTCCCATTTTCTTTCCCATCACTATTGGTGCCCTGTACATTTTCCTTTATTTCACTTAGTGTAGCCTTCATTTTTTCACCTAATTTTCTACCAAATTCAACCAGTTCTGTGAGCATCCTGATTACCAGTGTTTTTTTTTAAGATTTTTAAAAATATATTTTTTTTCAAGATTTTATTTATTTATTTTTTAGAGAGGGGAGGGAGGGAGAGAGAGAGAGAAAGAAACATCAATGTGTGGTTGCTGGGGGTCATGGCCTGCAACCCAGGCATGTGCCCTGACTGGGAATCGAACCTGCGATGCTTAGGTTCACAGCCTGTGCTCAATCCACTAAGCTACGCCAGCCAGGGCTGATTACCAGTGTTTTGAACTGTGCATCTGATAGATTGGCTATCTCTTCTTCACTTAGTTGTATTTTTTCTGGAGCTCTGATCTGTTTTTTCATTTGGGCCATTGTTTTTTGTCTCAACGCGCCTGTTATGTATGTATGAGGGGCAGAGCCTTAGGTGTTCACCAGGGCGGGGTAACCCAGGTTGCTGGATTGTGTCACTGTGGGTGGGGCATGGGTCTGAGAGGGAACAATGGTACTTGCTCTGCTCTCCGTCGGATTTCAGTCACTTCCCTGGCTTCTCACCAACAAATTGGGCCCTTTTGGTGCTGATTCCCATGTGGGTGCATTTGTGTGCATCCTAGGACCCTGTGGATCTCTCCAACAAACTCTCCTGTGAGGCTGAGAGTTTCTCCTGCTGCCGCCTCAACTCCCACAGGAGTTTTTAGTCAGTGGTTTGAGGCTTTATTTCCCTGAATTGGAGCCCGGGGCTGCGTGGTCTGTTGTGCCCCCAATTGTTCCTCCCAGTTTACGCTCAAATGTGGGACTGCCTGCTCCACCAGCCGCCGCCGTAGCCTTGCCAGGTCTGCTGCAGCCTTGCTCGCCCCACTCCACAGTCCGGCACTGGGTCCACCAGCTGCTGCCTTGCCTCGAGTCCTCTCCAGGCGCCCGTCTCCGACCCTCCTACCTGTCTAGATGAGTGTGTTTTCTTTAACTCCTTGGTTGTCAGACTTCCACACAGTTCAATTTTCTGTCAGTTATGGTTGTTTTCTGTCTTTAAATTGTTGTCCTTCTTTTGGTTGTGTGAGGAGGCACGGTGCGTCTACCTACGTCTCCATCTTGGCCAGAAGTCACATGCTATCTATCTATCTACCTATCTATCTATTTATTTATAGCGAGAGGGGAAGAGAGGGAAATAATCACCAGTGTGGTTGCACCTGCAGCCAGAGTCCTGGCCCGCAGCCCAGGCATGTGTCCTGACCAGGAATCGAACTGGTGACCTTTTGGCTCACAGGCCAATACTCAATCCACTGAGCCACACCAGCCAGACCTAGTTTGACGTTCTTATGCAGTAACAAATAAATAATACAGGGCCTTCCTCCCCAGTCTTTCTCCTGCTTGCTTGCTTTTTCAAAAAATATTTTTTAAAATTTATTTTTAGAGAGAGGGGAAGAGAGGGAAAAACAGGGAGAGAAGCATCAATATGTGGTTGCCTCTCACGCGCCCCCTACTGGGGACCTGGCCTGAGCTCTCGGTTTGTGGGGCGACACCCCACCCACTGAGAGCAGGTCAGGGCTCTCCTGCCGTCTCACTCAGACGTGGGCCCTGTGCCATGATGACACCATCAAAGACCCATGGAAGCAGACTGAGGCCCCAAAGGGCTTTGGGGAGATGCAATAATATTATGACACAAAAGGAAAGGGGCTCGTCCTCAGAAGCATGTGCATAACGGGGACTCAAATAAATAGGACACTTGGAAAGCATTTAAAACAGGAAAGAGATGAGATGCGTTCTCAGTGCTTCCTCATCCAGTGCACCTAGGTTCAGAAGGAATTTTAAATGAATATAATTGCATGTTAAGAGCTTTTTAATATCCAAAAAGAAGAATGACACCAGTAAAAATGCTAGTAGCTCCACACTTTAAAGTACACTGAATGTCAGAAAACCAGGAATCCAAAAAAAAAAAAAGAAAGGAAAAAAAAGAACACCAAGAATCACTTAATTTGACTTTTGTCCACACTGGGGTTTCTCAGAGTGGCACTGGGGCCTGCAAGCACTAGTGGTGCCAAGGTGGGGGGTCACCTGGGCACAGAGGTGACTGCTGACATGGCCGTGGTCCAGCCTCTGTGGCCCATTGGGGTCAGCCTGCTGCTCCTCTGTCCTGTGGACTCTGGGCATCTTTGCTGAGCCTGGGTCCTGCAGTCACTGTGAGGCCCTCCCACCCCACCCCCATTTCAGGGGACGCCCCTGGCCTCCAAGGGTCTCTCCGTGAGAGATCCCGTTTTCTCTCACATGTTTTCGTGATAAGGCCCCATTAAACCCAAAGTGTGAATTCTTAGTGGCCCAAAACACCCATTCTCATTTGGTTGAGGGCAGGAAGGGCTTCGTCGCCAACCCTTCCAAGAGGTAAGGGCAAAATAGTTGGTCAGCGCTGCAAAGGAGAGAGTGAAAGTCCGATTCCGTCTTCTCACAGTTCAAGGGGTCCGGGCAGCCACCTACGGGCAGCGGCCAGCACTCACTGGGTTGCCCAGGCTCTGAAGGAACTGGCTGTGTTCTCACACGAGGCTGCCCAGCTAAGTTCTGGATTACATTCGTTTTTTCAGGCACAGAGCAGTTAAGGCATTCGTCCCAGCTCGCCCAGCTGGGAAGCAGAGCAGCCTGGATTCAAACTTGGGTGCCCACCCCTGAGGCCCAGTGCTGAGCCCCACACATGGCCTGGCCCCCAAGGTGGGGACATGTGCGGGGGTACAGGCGGCTTTTCCCGGCCTGCCTGAGGTCGGCGGCGATGCCCACCCACTCGGGCAGGAAAGCCGCCTGCGGCTTGAAGACGGCACGGAAGGGGGAACCCGGCAGGGTGAAGTTGGCCAGGTAGACCACGTCCCCCCCGGCGAGGTAGGCGGCCCAGACCCCAAAGGTCCCGATGGTCATGATGGTGTGGTTGCACTGCATGAGCAGTGCGAAGTCCTTGCCCGGGGAGCCCTGGCGACCGCTGCCCGCGAATGCCACGTCCCCGAGGGAGCTGTCGATGTTCTGCCGGCACCAGGCCATGCCGTCGCTGGTGACCACGAAAGATGGGGGCGCGGTAGCGGGCCCGGAACCAGTCCAGCGCCTGCTCTAGGTACCGCCGGTCGGCCACCACGCCCTTCCACACCTGCGGCATGACGTGGACGTAGTCCCCCCGGCGCACGTGGACCCCCCACGAAGGTGCTCGGCCGGCTCCCATTCACCTGCAGGCCCCCGCAGGGTAACTCTGGGCCTCCTCGCGCACGTGGTCGTGCAGGGTGAATTCCCGGAGGATCTCGGCGCGCAGGTGGTGGTAGAAGGTCCAGGAGCAGGGGTAGCCGGTGAGGCGCACGTACTCCCAGGGGATGTGGCGGTGCCGCTCCTCCATCCAGTCGTTCAGGTGGTAGTTCCGCCAGGGGACCCTGCTGGCCGCGGTGTCGTGCAGGACCGGGAGGGTGATTCTGAAGATGGGCGCAAGTGTGTTGTGCATCTGCGCGGGGATGAAGGCCGGCCGGCCGTTCATCTTGGCCAGGGCGTACAGGGTGGCGTACTCACCCATCTGGTTCCCCAGGCGGCCCTGGGCGTTGATGGTGAACACGCCCCCCTGGGGCAGGGCCCTGGGGGCCAGGACCACGTGGCCCGGAGAGGCCCAGGGCGTGGGCACCAGAGCCAGGCGCTGGTGGCAGTGGAAAATGGTGGACACCACGAGGATGATGAAGAGGAAGGAGATGGTGAAGGAGGAAGGGCAGGTGGCCCAGAATCTCATGGTGGCTGCAGGGAGGAGAGAGGACCCGAGTCAGGACAGATGGCTGGACATTCCTCAGATGTCTCATTCACCTCCCCCCACCCACATCATTCATTCACTCACTCAACCCGTGCAAGCTCCTTTAGTGGCCTCCACGGCGCAGCTCCAGGCCTGCGTCTGCATCCCAGCTCCACCCCTCGCTGCCGCTGGGTGACTCCAGGCAAGCGGCCTCGCCTCTCTGAGTCCCCGGCCCTCACCCGTTAAACAAGGACGACTAGGTTGGACCATTTGAAGGTGCCGATATCCGACCTTACCCCATCGCACATGGTCCAGTACAACAGACCTGCCTCTTGGGCCTGCGTGAGGAAGCACTTTCGTTTTTAGCACAGGGCCTGGCACCTAGGAAGCACTCTCTACATGCTGGGAAACAAATGCATCCAGACTAGTTACTGATGGATTTCTGTGTCCGGGGCGCTCACAGGCCAGGAAGGTGGCGCAGCGTGGAGGTCGGGAGCACAGGTTCTGATGCCCGCCAGCTCGAGGTCCCCTCCTGCTGGCCGGGCAACCCGAGCAGGTTCTTCAGCTCCCTGGGCCTCAGTCTCCTCCTCAGTGAGATGGGGTTCCCCACAGCACCTCCACAAACTGCATTTCAAAGAGCCTCTGCACGGTAAGTGCTTCTGATTACCATTCGAGCGTGTGGTGGATTCAGGCCGGTCAGGTTCTCCGCCCACTTCCCTCGGACCTGGGCCAGCCTGTGCCTCCCTTGGCCAATCAAACTCGGCGGAACAGACCCTGTGCCGGTTCTGGGCCAGGACCCAAGGGACTGGCAGTGCCCACTCTCTGCCTCTGTGACATTCTCTGCATCGGCACGTCAAGCTGCAAAGTTGTAGCTTTTTTCTATGAACGTCTGTGATGAACGTTTTTCATTGTTTACACTTTTGGTAATGCTATTGAGATGCCCTGTAATGTTCAAATACCATGCAATTGTCTCGTTAAAAGTGTACATTGTAATGGCTCTCTAGTGCATTCACAGAGGCAATGTTTAGATCTGTATCACCCCAGAAAGAAACCCTCTGGCTCCCTAGCCTCCCCCCCCCCCCTGCCCACCCTCCCCGTCTCCGAGGTTTGCCTGCTCCATACGTTTCATATAAATGGGATCACACAGTACGTGGTTCTTTGCGGCTGGCTTCTTTCAGTAAGGATCACGTTCTCAGGGCTCCCCCGAGCTGCAGCATGAGTGAGTGCTTCGCTGGTTTCTTTTTATAGCCAACTAGTATTCCGTTGCAGGGATGCACCTCATTCTGTCAGCTCATCAGTTGATCGGACGCTCGGGTCGTTCCCGACTATTATGAACACTGTTACCATGAGCACGCACGTACACACCTCCGCGTGGACCTCCGCTTTCATTTCCCTTGGGTATTTACCTAGGAGCAGAGCTGCCGGGTCAGAGGATAACCGAGTTTAATAGTTTCCACAGCAGCTGCCATTCCATTCCCACCAGCAGCATGTGAGAGCTCCGGTTTCGCTGCACCCTCGCCCACACGCACCCCTGTCTGTCTCTTTGATCGCAGGGGGTGTGCGGCGCACTCTCACTGTGCACCTCCAGCTCCGGCCCTGCCTCCACCACACTCTCCCGGGGCTCCACACTCGGCTCCCGTCCTGGTGATGGAGGGATTACCCCTTCACCAGCAGTCTCTCCTGCTCGCACACGGGCTCCCAGAGAGGGCCCCTTCACTCCGGGTCCCCATTGCGTCCTGACCCGCTTTCTCGTCCCCCTTCTCTGGGTCTTTCCAGTGGCTACAGCTCAGAAGCCCCCAACCCCATGCAGACGCCCTGGATTGTGTGGCCCCCCTCTCTGTCACGTGGCTGCCATCTCACCCCCTCCGGGTCCCTCTCTCTCCTTCCACTGACCCTTTCAGTGTCGGGGCTCAGTGGACCTTGCCACAGTCCCCCTCCTCTATTCCAGGGCTCCTCGCTTTGTTACTCTGACCCCTTAGGGAGACCGGAACACTCTAGGGCTCTCCTGGAATGGATCATGCTCCATGTGGGTCCCCAGCAAGGTCAGCTGGCTCTTCCCACATGGGGACTAAGGGTGACATCTCACGCCTTCCACTGAGGTGCACAGGCGGTGCCTGAATTGGTTACTCCCCTCTACAACGGTGCGGAAAGAATATGCATTCAGTAGAAACCACACTCCCAAGTTTGAATTTTCGTCTTCCCCCTGGCTAGTCCTGCACAGTACAACACTCTCTTCTGATGCTGGACAGCAGTAGCGAGATGCTCTGGCCCCACTGCAGGCTGACGTAAGTGTTTTGATCACGTTGAAGGTCACCTAGGCTAAGCCAGGGCATTTGGTAAGTTAGGTGTATTAAATGCAGGATCGACTGAGAATATTTTGGACTTTATCGGACGGAACCCCAACGTAAGTCGAGGAGCGTCTGTAAAAGACACGTCACGCTCGCTGCTTCGGTTTCCAAGAAGGAAGTGAAATCTGCCTGAGCCCCTCTTCTCCCTGGGCTGGTGGTGACTGGCAGTTCTGGCCCAGCCCTTATCACACTGTCTGCCCACCTCGGTCCGCCCGGGTCCTGCACGGAGCAGGACTCCGGCCCCAGCCTCCAGCCGCTCCCTGGCCCAGCCAGAGCCGAGCGGGGACTGAAGCCCGGGGTTCTGGGGTGGAGGGCCCAGCTGGGGCAAAGGCACCGCCACCCAGGGCCACCTCCACGGGGTGCGACCCGTGCAGTCGCCCAGGGCCCTGTGTGCAAAAGGGCCCCGTGTTTGCTTTAATGGTCTGCTCTCCGCGTCTAGAAATCCTCCATAGATTCGATCCAGGCACCCTGAGTTTTCGTCTTGCCCTGGGCTCTGCAAATCTGGTAGCCACACCTGGGGCCATCCTCTGTCCAGGGGCCTCAAGGGCTCCCCCTGCTGGCGCTTCATGGGCCTGGACAACTGAAAAGCTGTGGAAAGGAAGGAATCCAGGCTGAGGCTCCTGTGGGTCCCACCACACACCCGAAGGGTCCCGGTTCTCACTGCTGAGCTACAACTCCTCATCAGCATTTCCCCAGACTGGGGGCAAACCCCAACCTGAACTGCGCCTGTCTGGGGACAAAACCTGGCCCAAACCAACGTGTGGCTATCTGTAGATTTCCCTCAGAGTGAACACCCTGGTGTTTTGCTGATACAATACCGTTTGACTGTGGGACACTGTCCAGCCCCCAGTGGGGCTGTGTGACATGCTGTCCCTCTGTCTGTGCTCCCCAGCACGGTGTACCAGCACAGGTTCTAAACTGTCTGGTCCAAAGAGTTTCAGGTACGAGAACTATAGGCCTGTCTTCACGCATTTAGTCCTCATGGTCGCCCATGAGGAAGGAACGTTTTTATGTCCATGTAACAGATGAGGAAACTAAGGCACAGAGAGGTTAAGAAACTTGCTTCAAGTCACACAGCTAAGAAAGAGGTGGAGCCTGGATTTGAACCCAGGCCACTGAACTTTAGAAAACTCTGTTCTTCATTCCAGTCCTGGACATTTCAAGTATGTCCCGAGGGCAAATACACTTGCCCTTGGGTCACAGGTGGGGTTTGACCTGCCCCACCTTGCCTCATGGGGGCATCTGCTACTTCCGGGTCCCATCCCTCCCTGCGGAGCCCACCTCAGAGCCGTGCCCTGGGCGGTCCTCTCTCTGTTCTGTGGCGCTGGGAGGGTGCAGGTGCCCAATACTTGAGGAAACTCCCCACCCGAAGTCTCCTTTCTGGCTTGGGGGGAATGGTTTCCTCCCCCTCAGGCCGCTTCTGCCCCTCCGGCCCCCAGGCACCTCCAGGGCTGCTAACCGCCTCAGGCAGCTCAAGCTACTGAGAACAAAAGGGGGGAATTCCTCCCTTCCAGGTAGCTCTGGCTTAAGAAACCTCCTGTCCCTGGGTGTGGAGGAAAAGTGAGACCTCACCCTTCCCCAGAACTTTCTCCGGCAGCAAACCCAGCCTTTGCACCACTGTTCCCTCTGCCTGAGTCCCGCCTGCCCGGACGCCCACGAGGCTTGCCCTGGCCTCCCTCAGGTGGCAGCCCAAATGTCCCCTCCAGGCCCCCATCCTCCCCACCCACTTCCCAACTTGCTTCTGCCCCAAAGGACCTGTGGCCTTCCCCTGAACTGCTGGTTACTTTTCCGTAGCGATCTCTCCTTGATCCCGGATGCCAGCCGGACAAGGGCGGGGCTCTACACACCTGTGCTCTGCAGAGCTGGCCTCGAAGGGGGGACCTGGAATGGGGGAGGGCGGTAAACACTGCCCCTTGTCACTGGCCCCTCACACTGCCCACCCTCGGGTCCAATGTGCACCCTCTGATTTGGGGGTGTCTCTGCCCCCAATCTCTTGTTCTTACAGCTGACTCCTGCTTAATGCACGCTTTTTTTTTCTTTCAAATCCAATGTCCCTGTCCTGGCTCCCGCTGGGGCTGGCCCCTGCACGGTGGTGCACAAGGGCAGCCTGGAGCCAGAAGCACAGATGGCCTCCCACCCCAGGGCAGGCTGTGGACGGGGGTCCCCAATCCCCGTCTGGGTCGGGCCCACGCTGTGCCACAATCAATGCCAAAGGCACTCGGGGCCACAGCAGCAAGTATCTGGGCCTCATCCTCCGAGGCCTGGGCTGTCCTCGGCAGGAAGTGCTAGGAAACCTTATTGTTCTGGTCGAGGCTGTTCGGTACAGAGTTGACAGGCCCATTTGCAGGGAAGTTTCACGACTGGAGCACTGAGGCCTCGCAGGAGGCCGACGGGCCGTGGGGGAGGCTGGCCTCCAGCTCTGGCCCCTCCGAGTCCCTGCTGGGACCACCGAGGCCTGGGGCAGCCTCCCTCCACCCCAGCCCCACCCTCTCAGAAAGCAGCTCGTGCCTTTACGTCTCCCTGGGGCCGACATGAGCCTCACGGGAACACTGAGTTTAGGGTTTGAGCGCGACTGACCTTAACGCTCAGTTAGCCCACAGCTGACAGAGGTTCCAGAGGGGAGGAGGTGCTGGCTCAGGGTTACGTGGCCAGGGGCCAAGGTCCCATCTCTGCATGAGTGGCCCCGACGCACAGACGCCAAGCGGTGGGGCTGAGTCTTGCCCTCCGTCCCAGGGGTGAGAGTGAGTACAGTGGGGACCCCAGACCCAGGGGCCCCGGCCCGCTGCTGCCCCATCCTGTCCTACCTGCCTTGAGCGTCCTCCTTGGCCAGCCTGCTCCAGGCTGTCCGGCTTCAGGCCCCCGGTGGCAGTTCTCAGGTCCCACGCAGCAGACTGGGGCGGTGTGGCTGGCAGGGGTCTCTGCGGGGACAGCGTGGCTGCGGTTGGTGAGGGGGTTGGGGCGGGGGTGGGGGCAGTGGTGGTGTTGGATTCTGCGGGCTCCGCTCTGAGCTCCCGCCCAGAACCCCCAGTAGCCCGGGGCCTGAGAACAGCCACTCCACACTCACTCCTGAGCGCCCACCCCGGCGGCCGCGGCCGAGCTCTTGCAGGAGGGGAGACCCAGGAGGAGCTGACTGCGGGGGACGCTCTCTTCTCGGGAGCAGGTTTGGCCAGCGTCAGGGGTGCAGGGAGGGGTGCTTGCAAAATAAGCTGGGGAAAAGGCGCCTGAGGCCCCAGCGGACCCCCACCCCGCCCAGGCCTGGCTCCCTGACGGTGGGTCTGGTGGGAGCACTAGCCTCTGTTCCCCGAGGCGTTGGGGGTGGGCTCCAGCTCCCAGAAGGGAAGGGGCTGGGGGCTGGACACCTGGGCTCCCCAGGCGGGCAGAGGTGGCTTCTGGGTCCCTCAGGAGCCCTGGGGGACTCACGGTCTGGTTGCCCAAGGTGCCAAGAGCCAGAAAGTGGCGCCACCTGAGCCACCCAGGCCAGAGAGCAGAGGTGGGAGGGAAACGGGGCTGGGTCCTTCATAAAGCTGGCGCTCAGGGACTCCGGGCAAATGCCGCCGCCGGAGCGCAAAATGGCGCCAGGCCCCTCTGCAGGGCTGGAGGGCGACGCCCGCCCCTGGGGGCAGGGGAGGCAGCCTCTGCGTGTGGCAACAACAGTGGGGACACCGCAGGCTGTGACATCAGGCTGAGGGGGGACGTCACCCCATCTGCAGCCCCAGGTGCCTCATGGACTCCCAGGCTGGGGCCGGATCCAGGGCCGGGCTTCTGGGCGGCAGGGCCCAGAGAGGCTGCGAGGCCCCCAGGCCTGAGTGAGTTTCTCATTAGGGGGTGCAGGCCCAGGAAGGGGGATGTGGGGGGCATTTCAGCACCAAGTTCTTCCTAGCACTGCCATCCTGGGGGCCTGGCCTTCTGGCCACCTTGAACACGCTGGCCTCTGGGCCTGCCCTGTCCTGCCTCTTTCTCTCCATCCCCCAATGCCCGCCACCCCAACATCTGCTCCCCGTCTGTTTTGGGGACCTCAGGGTCAGTGGGGAGTGTGGGGACTCAGATCCCTGGACTCTGGGGCCTAGGATGGTGGACTGGGGGGCTGAGATGATTAGAAAGTCCTCAGATGTCCCAGCATAGGATCATTCCACCTGGAGTCCTAAGGGGGACCCAGCATCTAGACCCCCCCAACCCACAAGGGTTTCTGCACCCGATTCCCAGCCCCAGAGCGACCCAGGCTTCCAGCCCCACCCGTCCAGGTCCTCTCCCTTAGCACACTGCTCTGGGCTCTGCACCTGGGGGGGAAAGGGTTAAGGGTGGTGGAGGCTGGGGGTGGGTGGCAGGGAGCACCGGTGGTTTGGCCCTAATCCCCTCCGTGCCCAGGGTGTGGAGAACAAGGTTAGGGCACCACGTGGGAAAGGGCCTCCGCTCTGATCCCCGTGGGCTGGGGCCCGGCCTCCCGCTTCTGATCACCCGCCGGGCACCCCAGCCCCTCCCCCGCCCCTTCCCACGGCCGGGCTGGGCCCTGGCCCGCCGCAGGGCTGTCGGTGCTCTTGATCCCGGTGCCTCCGAGCCCCCAGCCAGCCTGTCTGTCTGTCCCAGCCCCCGGGCTCCCCGGGGCCGCTCCCCCTATTCACTGTGGCCTCTGGGTGCCCGGCCACTGTCTGTCTGGGCCTCCTGGCCTCCCCTGGTGTCGCAGGCCTTCCCCAGGCTTGCTTCTTGTCCCCCTGTCTGTCTCTGCCTGCTGCGCCTCTGTCCCTCTCTCTGTGCCTTTGTCTCTGAGCTCCGTCCATGTCTAAAGCCCCCTCCCCTGCCCGGCCTTGACCCCAGCAGCCCCAGTGCCCTCCCCCTACTTCGCCACCTGCCCCCCCTCCCCCCCGCAGAGCCCCTGGCCCTTGACACTGACAGATCGCTCTGGGGTGTTAAGCTATGGATTAGTTCAGGCAAAATTCTCGATTTTGCTTGCGTTCTTTCCCCTTTGGGTTGTGTAAACAGTAATTCTCCCCAGATGGAACTATTTTCCTCGCTTAGAAGCAGCCGAGGAGGGGGCTTGGGCAGGGCGAGGGGTGGAATGCCGGGGTCCTCGGGGGGCCTGGGAGAGAGCCTGGCGCAGGGGACACTCGAGGACAGCCTGAGGCCCTCAGCCTGCCACTCCTGTCCTCTCCAGGTACTTGCTCCTGCCGGGACCATGCCCGTGACCTTCACCCTTTTGCTCCTCCTGAGCCAGGCCACCTCGGACCCGTGCTACCATCCAGGGGGCCGCCCCCGCTTCTGCCTCCCGCCGGTGACCCAGCTGGCTGGCATGGCGGTCTCCTGTCCCCAGTCCTGTGCCTCCCCTGCAGCGGCTGAGGTCAGCCCCAGGGCCACCTGCAACGGCAGCCTGACCCTGGCCCTGGGGGGCGCCTTCCTCCTGACATCCGTCAGCCTGCGCTTCTGCCCCTCAGGCCCCCCGGCCCTGGTCCTGTCGGCCTCCTGGGCCACGGGAGGTCCCTGGAAGTCGCTGTGGCGCAGACCCGCCTGGCCTGGGGCCTTGGGGGGCCCCGAAAAGGTGACTTTCCGTGCCCCACGGGGCGCCAAGGCCAGTGTGGTGGCCAGTCACCTGCGAGTGGAGTTTGGGGGCCGGGCAGGGCTGGCGGCGGCCGGAGTGAGAGGACGCTGCCAGTGCCACGGCCACGCCGCCCGCTGCGCGGCCCGGGCCCGGCCCCCCCGCTGCCACTGCCGCCACCACACCACAGGCCCGGGCTGCGAGAGCTGCCGCCCGTCCCACCGAGACTGGCCCTGGCGGCCTGCCACACCCCGGCACCCCCACCCTTGCCTGCGTGAGTCCTGGGCCCCACTCTCCCGCCCTCGCCCCCTGCCCGGCCCCATGATTCACCAGCAGCGGGCCCCTTGTCCCTGAGGCGTGCAGGGCGCTCTCGCCCACCCTGGGCTGCCTGTTCCTTGTTTCTCCCCTCACTGTTCTGCAGCCGGGTCCCCTCTTCGCCTCCCCCTACCGCCTGCCCCCTGCCATCCCCGAATCTCAGCTGCCCCAGACTTCCAGCTGCCCACCTGCCCATTAGGGGGCTCCTGTCTGTTCCGACACTCGAGCACAACGAGGGTGACGTGAATATCACTCTCTGAGCACCCAGCCCAGGGCTCAGCTTGCTGCGGGCATCCTGAGGACACTCACTGAGTGATTACAAGGAACAGGGCCGCTGGGCCTTTCCTGGCTCATCCAACCCACCATATGGGGTTAGGGTCCAGTCACCAAAGCCATACGTACCGATCACCCGCTATGTGGTCATCGGGCCCAACTTACAGATGCGGAGACTGAGGCTAGGGCTGGGAAGTCCCTTGCACAAGGACACACAGCCGGTCAGTGGCAGGGCCAGAAGCGGAGCTTGGGGGCAAGGGGGTTTTGGCCTGTCCTTGCCCAGCTTCTGTCGGGCGCTGTCACACTGGGTGTTCTGGGGCAGCAGGCAGGAGGCAGACTGCCTGGGCTTGAATCCCAGCTCCCCTGCTTGCTGACTGGCCGTGTGATCCCAGGCAAGTGACCTAACCTCTCTGTGCTTCCGCTTGCTTGCTTGTACAGTAGGGGAACAGCACTTCCTTTAACTTGGATGGAATTCCTGAAATGCACTGAGCTCATTAGTACACGTGAAGTTGTTGGAAAACGGCCCCCTATGACAGCTGGTGCAAAGGAAGAGTTTCTGAGTACCTGGCGAGGTTACCATCCCCCAGAGGAGGGAGGTGAGGCCTAAGTGGCCGCAACACTTGCCCTGAGCCTCACTGCCAGCAGGGGGCAGTGCTGAACGGGCCTCAGGGAGATGGGCAGCACCCCTGGCCTTCTGGCTAGACGGTGCTCCTGCTCCATGCCCATCTTTCCTCCCCAGGGCCCCCAGACTGGAGCTTCCAGAGTCTAGGCCCTTCCCCAACCCTCCAGAAGCCCCTTCTCAGAGTCAGCCCACCTCCTCCTCGTCCCTCCAAGCCTGCAGCCCTTGCTGGAGGAGCTGAGCGTGGCTGTTACCAGGCCCTGGGACGTAATTCCTCTCCACCAGTAGATACACAGAGACACACACAAACACACACACTCACTCACTAGAATCCCCTGGACTCCCTTCTCTGCCCCTGACGTTCTTTGCCCCCTTCTTTCTCTATTTCTTCCTGAAACGACTCACTTACAGACCCTTGTCCTCGGTTCTCCTCTCCATCCTCACCCTAACTGGGGTCCTCCGGGGCCCTCCGCCCTGACACCTCAGGGCCTCTCTTCAGTTGGTCCGTTCCCACCAGCTAGACCTGACGCCCCTTTGAGGGAGGGAGGGGGGGACCCACATGGCCAGGGGGTACAGCAGGGCTCATCCTAGGCCTGGGCAGGGTCTGGGAGCAGGGGTGCTCCCATGTGGGAATCACCACATGGCCCTGGTCAAGCGGGGCACTGCCCTCTGACCCGCACAGCACTGTGATGGGGAAAGGGAGCCTGACTCCTACGGTGAAGCCGCAGGCTTACAGACATGGTATCTGGAGCCCCTTCCCCATGGGGGTCTTCTAGACAGAAGGTAGGTGACGTGGTCACCCTTGGGTCAGAAAGAATCCAAAGGCCACTGCTTACCCACGGTCATCTGCGAGCCCTGCCACCTCTGACAGGCCTGGAGGAAACCGCGGCCCAGAGGGGCAGCGCCATTCTCAAGAGAACACCTGGCGGCCTCGGCTCCCGGATGACCTTCCCCCATCCTGTGGGTCCTCAGGACCTGCCAGTCTGGGCCTCCCCAGTCTCTTAGAGCCCCAAGCCCCTTCAGCATCTCCAAGGAGTGGCCCACGAACCCCCTGCATCAGCATCTCACTCAGGGATGCTGGCTAGAAATGCAGATCCCCGGGCCCTGGAATCTGTGTTGTTCTTTTTCAAGGTCTC